GTGCGAGAATGAAAAGGTTTGCACTAAACTATACTGAAAATTGGGTATATTTTGTAAACATTTGTGCACAATGAAGCTGTTATTTTTATTAAGCTATGTGGATGTATCAGCTGGCTAGTTGATTCAAGTCTGATTTAAAGGTCAATATACCGTTCATCTTGAGAAATGTGATGAATATGCAAAACAGTTTTCGAACAGTTTGTTTACACAACTATCTACCATTTCACTTTATACAAAAATGTAGAAATATACTGTCAAATAGAGCGAACAAAATGACGACTATATAAGTTGATTATAACGGGCACATTGAGGGTGGTAATTGACACTTATCTTCATAAAATGATCCGTTATTTTGCACCGTAGTAGCTAACTACTTTCTGGTGTTTCTGAGAGGTTAAGGAAAACGTCAGTGGAAATCCTGCATGAATTACAAACAGAAATAAAATATACTGAACTGTATGTCAGATGAAGAATTGATATACCGTGAAACCTGATTTGTATAATCTTGCCTATTCCGAAAAGTTCATTGACAAATAGCGTTTTGAAATGATTATTGAAAGACTGATACTTGAAGAGAAGAATATTATTTACAATATAAATATGCTGGGCATGTACACAAAATTTTGATATGGTTGTGTTCTCTGAGTTGGATAGTTAATTTGCGAATCTTCAAATTGAAGTATGTGCTGAAGATGTCACCTAGTAGGGCTATGAAAGCTTCGCAAATTAACTATCCAGCTCAGAGAACACAACTATATCAGAATCATCCACCTGAGCTACACAAAATTTGAAATAAAAGGTTATGAGTTCAAGAAAAGAAATGAAAGAGATCTGTCATAAATCTGCTACAAATCAGATCATGAAAATACTCTGGAAGTCACATTACATAAATCAAAATAAAAGGAATACGCCTCTAGTTAAAGATTCCTGCTACCTGCTCATATGTTTGTTGATGAGGAATTGACAAGAACAACAAAGGAATATTTGGTAGTGTCTTATTATTAAATCCTCTGAACTTGGCTTCACAGGAACATTTCACGGACCTTTAGCAAATCTAATCCAACGGTACAGCTTTGTTGATGATTTACAGAAACAGCACTCTTTGCTGACCTATATCTTTCCAATATGTGTAACTTTCTCACTGATGTTCACGAACACTTTCCAGATGATTGGAGTTCTAAAACTGTGAAAACGTATTCACATATCAAGTAAGTTGATTAGTAAGTTGTTACTAAATAAACACTGTGGTTGATGAAACCACGTCAAAACATGTGAATTTTAATCAATTTACCACTCACAAAAGAGTGGGTTTGAGATAAATTTCATATCACTTTGACGTAACGTGAATACTGGTGTGATCCAAGAGGTGGAATGTACGAACGCATACTAACAGACGGCATTTACAAGGTAGCACTGAAATATTCAAAGTTGGATGAAGCATTCTGAGGTTGACAGTATCCTCTGTAGGGGACTTTCTAGCGAGCTCAGTAACAGAACAGGTATTTGAATAAAAATCCAAGTTAATGAGATGATAGAATAACAGTATGTTATAAAAAATACAGAATTACTTATTTGAATTATTCAGTTCCTTAGTTATACAGTTAAAGTTCACTACTACAAATTATTATTATAATCCACAATAGTGTTTACTGCTGAAGACGTGTCTACTGGTAGTGCTGTGCACTGGTTGCAGAATAGTCTTCGGATGAAGATAAAAGGTTCCTTCGAAATCTAAAGTATACAACACGGTTTGTAGTGAAACAAGTAGACAGCATAGACTAGCGAGAATATGAAGCGGCGGGAAGCACAATGCATTTTTTTATTGTACTCCGCAGTTATGCATATTTCACTATGAATCGTTTTAAACAAAAGTTGCGTACAATGTTTCTATTTTTAACATCTAACAACAAAAAATGTAAAGTCGTATTGTTACAGACTCCACACCTCTGTCATAATGCCTTTAAAGCCATATTCCACTTTGCATGACTTTTGCAAGAGCAAATATATTGAAAGAACAGAAATACCGATTTGTTACCGTACTGGGATTTCTTTGTGGCTAAAAATAGTGCAAAATTGCATTCTCCCAATACATAGTAGTTAGTAGCAATGGATATGTTGCTCTTAAATCATTTGGAATTATTCACATACATATAAATCCTACTTGATCGGTAACCACTGAACGTTGAAACTTGAGCTCATGCATTCCGAAAGTGGCTGTTGTTACTCCTCCTCTACCAATCTAATCTTTGGAATTTCGTTTCATTTGACACTCTTAATGTATACCTCTCTATATTACTTATAACTCATTCTCCTGTCCTTAATATTTGACTGCTACTCACCCTATTTTGATCGCATGGCTGCACATTGACTTCAAAGGTGCTTGGGATTTTCACCTCTCATTTATATGCAACAAATTTGTCAACTTTAGGGTATTTAAGTATTTTTTACAATTAATCCCATAAGACTACTAACACTTGTAATTTTATATATATTCTACTCTTAATGTATTAGATTTGAATGATATTTGGTTGTGTTTTCAAGTGAAATAGTCAAAGAATTTGATCATTTTTAATAGTGATATTGGAATTGTTCTGATACTATTGTGGTTAACAGAGTTAAAGTTGAAGTACTTGAAATACTAGAGAACAATTTTCATGGTAACAGTGAAATCATGCGAGTTCTCTTCTTCCTATAATGGTCGATTAGCCTACAGATTTTATTCGTCAGACAGACCACAACCAAACGAATTGGAGTGGCACTTGCCAAAAATATTGACTTCACGATACAGTGCTTCAAATGTATTAGTCAACCGATTTGTGACTTAATTTCGTTGGGGGATGAACATGTCGAATGCTAGAGATATTCGCGTTTGAACTGTGTAATTCTTTTACATTCTATGCACTGTGTTTGCTATTCAGTGTTTGAATTTGATAGGTAGAAACATATCTTCAGGAAAACTGTTAGAGGCTTTCCCATTAGCTCATACACTGAGCAATTGTAATGGGATGATTAGTTTTGCATTCACCTTCAAGCTTAAGTTTTCATGGACGAAACATTTGATATCCACTTCAAAATACTCTTCGGTTGAAGTATACACAAAAGTTGTGTGAGGAGTTTATGAGACATATGAAGCTCTTCCGAAGTAGTAAAGTGGAGAAATTAAACAGAATTTTTCGAAACTATGTTTCTACAAGCCCAAGTCTCACCTGGAATGAACAAATGGACTTCTAAATAAATCTAGTCACAAGAATTAGTGTGGGGTTAGTTGACACAGAAGAAATGTCTCATCTGCTACCAAAAACGTTGCATTGCCTATAAACGTAATTGTTTTCTTTCGTTATATTACTGAATACAAATGTAGGAGACAGATAAGAGTTGAAGCATGTTGACACTGCTAGGTCCAGATTTTCATAACGAAGGTGGTTTCATGGGAGATTCAGAAGTTCAGTGCATCAGAATGAAATGCATTACTGATTAATTGAACAAATTCAAATCTTTTTGGGTTGACACACTTCGATGAAGTACTGATTGAATGATTAGAAGAAGATAATAGGACCACATCTGAGCTATTGTGGGGGATTTTGAGGCATGCAACTAGAAGTCCCAAAGACTGATTCTTAACATTCTAACACGTATAACCATCCAACATGCACATCAAGTAATAACAAATATTGATTTTTAGATCGGTTTGTTTTTCCTTCTGAATAACGTTTACTCCTTTCAAACCTAATCTTGTTTCACTTAAAATCACTGTCTGAAAAAGGTAATGACTTTATGTGTGGAATATGTCTTCTACTTCAAAATGGAGCAGCTTCACTCCATACTGTGTAAATCAAAAGGTGACAGTACTAGATGGTCAAACAAACGTCAACTGTAAAATAGATTGCATGAACTAAATAGGCCAGAGAGGCCATCCTACTCATCTTCACATACATGAATACAAGCTAGTAATCCGAAGATGTGACAAACACTCGTTCATATCAATTCACGCAGACGACTACCGACACAAAATCGACTGGGGTGATGCAAATATATTAGAGAAAGGAGACATTAAGTATCCCAGAGAATCCCTGGGGTTCCTATAGACAAATCAGTTTCCAGTTAGTCGACATGTTGATATGGATGCAATCTACCAAGCAATGAATAATAAATAGGTGACAGGAGAGAAGGGTCAAAAATAGGGATGACAAGAAGACCAGTTTCCATGCAGGCGAGTACAATCTTAGGGAAATCTACGACAGCAGCCAGTTGCAGTAGTCACCAGGAGAGACAAATACTTCATTCATGACGAATTTCATAAACTCATTTCACTTGGACTTAACTCTGTAGATATTGTCTGAAAGGGTAATGAAAGTTTCACAGTTAAACCATCAAACCTAGATACCTTCTGATTTGATAAGGTAACCACTCATGCTAGAACTATGGGATAAGTAATTCATGAGAATGGTTTTAACAGATTTGTAGTGGATATCATTTTCAAGTCCGGAAACAACTGACGCTAAATTTATTAGTTATCATGCACTGGTTCTAAACAAGTGCGTTTAGCAGTTAATTTTTTCACCATTCTAGATTGATTTGTGCACAGATCAATGAAGAAGCCACCTTCATGTTGAGTGAAATGTATTTAGGCATAGTCACTCTAATCTTACATATGCAGTTTTAGACCCGGAACTACATTTACGATATTTCTGCAGTTATTAAAAGGACTTGGAGGAACATGATTCGTACAAATATGCGTTGAAAAACAATTCGTTATCACACTAAATCTTCTTTGGTTAGCTTTGTTTTGAAACCATAGCAGATGTGCTATTACCTCTGTTATTTGGTTTAGTGATCTTCATTGTTATTTTGACCTTGAATATGTCCTTTTAACTTGACGTCACCTATTAATTCTTTATTAATTTCATATATATTCCTATGGCAAGTCTGTGTGTGCTGAATCAGATTGTTCAAAATGTGTTGCGCAAATACATTTCATAAGTCAGATAAATTACGTCTTATTATTGTTTTGTCTTTATTTATGATCAGTTATTAACTGGTTTCATTATAGTGAGATTCAGCCATCGTTAACATCAGCTAACCATATCTCCTTCTCACCAAAATCGAATACAGTGTAGAAATTCCTCATAAATACATAGCCAAGAACCCAAACTCCAGGGGGGACTTCATCGCTACTAGCGAATGGTGATGTACACTCTGTCTTTAACCAGTTGACTTCCTGAAATCGAAAATGAAACGAATTTTATAAATCTCATTGATTCAAAATCTCGAAAATAAAAATTGGAACAACCATGGGAAATGAGGAAATTCACAAACTTTCCGGCTAAATTTGTCTGTTTAGAAGCTGAAACCAATATTTTGCATAGAATTGATGATTATTTCTGTGTAGAATGAATGATAATCGTGGAGCTGGATGACACTTGCCGATGTAAGAGAGGAAGAAATGAAACTAAGGAACAGTATTCCGCAAAACTGAAGAAGAGACAGGGAGATATTTTCAGTGAAATTCTCTGAAGTCTTCTGTTGACAGCAATTCGAGGACTTTCTTTGCCATTTATTTCACCTCACCTGCACTTGCTCACAAAATCGGTAAAGACAAGTTGTGGATTTTGGTGACTTCAGTGTCAATTCACCAGCCTAATGTCTCCTACGGAGTCAACTACGTGGACTGTACTAACAGGACATTGTGTAAGTAGGCCGATGAACACTTACCAGCATGGTAGTCCAAGGAATGAGGTAGTACAGGACAGACAACGACTCAATTCTGGAGCACGATGTTACTTCTTGGCATGTAGCATCAGAACAGAGTTACTTCAAAGTCATATGTGAAATAGGACCAGGCAGTTCAACTGGATTTCGCATACATTTCATGTAACCAAGGCTTCTGGAATCCACTAGGAAAAACCGGGACTTTGTATTCAAACACGTTTTTATCCAGTCTCCTTTACTAAAGTGTCTTTAGTGACAATTTTGTTGTGTAAAGAACTTTATGCAGTATTTGCACATTTGTTTTTTGTAACTCACTTTCAATGCACCGATCTCTGGCTCTTATATGTCATTTCCAACTAACTACTAATCATTACATAAGTAATTGGCAATCAACCCTCTCGATTATTCATAATTTTTCGCACATTGTCGTGTCGATGGATCTCACCTTTGTTGTGAGATAGCACTGTATATATAAACCCTAAATAACTGTTCAGACTCGAAGTGAGGTTACGAAAAGAGATCTCTTTCCTTACTTAGGCCATTTTAAAAACGATGAAATTCACCTGTATTTTAAAATATGTTGCCATTTCTTAAATGCAAACCAGTGGCATTGATGAGGAAATTCCCATCGAGGTGCCGATCACAAGAAAATCACAATGTTCAATCGAATTCTCTTACTTACCTTAAGCACATAGTTCTTCGCCTCAAGTACATAGCTCCTCTTCTTGAAGACAAACTCAATAGGAGGGAGCAGGTTAATATCATTACAGTTTAATCCATACTCATCATCCCCAACCGGCTCGGCCCCAAGTCTAGAATTAATCGTTTCCACCGTTTCATTCGATCCCAGTATCAAAGATGTGCCAGTAGATATAATAGCAACGCACGTTTCTTTGCAATATTCTACTCCATTTATCTTCATGCTGAACATGGTGAAACAAACACAACTGAAACACTAACCAGTCTATGTAGTGAAGAGTGTATTCATAGAAGTTAATTCAATCACAAAAACACTCATCCTAATAATCAGACGCAATGGGCATACTTAGTTCTCATCAGTCATCTCCACACGAATACACAAATCCCTGTCTGTTTATTAACTTTAAGCTCTCATCAAAATTTCTTGCAATTACAACCAGTAGCAACGTTCACTAAACCATTCTAATGAATTCGTTCACTGGAATACTCGTGAACACATACAAACCATGCTGAAATTACGCACACCATGAAAGTTTCCACTTGAGATTGCTCAAGGCAACTTCACTACACACTATCAGCATTTCAAATGGCATTCGTTTCCAGATAAACCACTCAGGTTGTCAACAGATTAAAACCAAATAGACGACAGTTTCTTCGATAACTCAGTGAAAGTTGGCCAGTAAGTAGTCACGCCAGCATCTGTGTGTTTATCGCACGTAAAAAATGGATAGTCAGCATATGTGATGTTGTTTGGTAGAAGAGGAATCGGTTTTCATGTGTTGAGGTGATGGTGGTCAAATGACTGCTTTATTTGTACTAGAAGAGAGTATTTTAGGTTCAAACCAACTTTAATAAATTAGGGATGCAGAATAACTGTCCACTAATTTGTCATCTGGAATTATCAAGTCATATCTCATCCAATAGACTTTTACGTGAGTGTATGACTTTTATTACTGGAAAAAGTGGGAGTTGTTGCGTGTATTAAATAAACTTTGATTAGAAGACATAACTGTGACAACCACTCCACATTTTCTGTGACCTTAGTGTTCACGTGAAAAATTGATATCCTTTCGACAACACAATAAGAAGACGTAGTTTATCTGAAACGTGTAATGTATTGGCGCAACACATTTCCGACATTCTGATCACACACGTACTTGTCATACACAGTTTTTATAGAAGGCAGAGGGCACGAATGATTACAATACAGGTCAGATTGTGTACAGGTCAAGGTCACAAGCAGTGAGTAGGGAGATGCAAAGATGTGGGTAAGAAAGAGAAAAAGAGAAAAGCAAAGCAAAGAAGGGATTGAAAACATTATGAATTAAATTGGTCCTTGGTTCTTTTTATGGCTGGTTGGGCCACGTACTTAAATTCGTTGAAGTCTTAGCCATAAGAAGATTTAAATCTGTGTTATGTGTCCAAAAGTTATTTGTTATTACCTTAAACCTGCCTTGGTAATCCAATTTAGAACCAAGGATCAATTTACTTCATAATATTTTCAATCACTTCTTTGCTTTCTTTTTCTCTTTCTCTCTTTCTTACCCACATCTTTGCGTCTCCCTACCCACTATTTGTGACTTTGACCGGTACACAATCTGACCTGTATTGTAATTATTCGTGCCTTCTTGCCTTCTATAAACACTGTGTATGACAAGTACGTGTGTGATCAGAATGTCGGAAATGTGTTGCGCCAATACATTACACGTTTCAGATAAACTACGTCTTCTTATTGTGTTGTCGAAATTCATAAAAGGAACTAATTACTTTAAATAATATCTTTGCCCATGAAATCATGCAAGCATCAATTGACTACCTTTTGAGTGTAACAGTCCAACTGTCTTTATAAATGACAGGCAAGTTTTCGAAATCTCCAATAAAATATTCAGGATTGACACCACCAATCACCATCTCTCCACCAGCAAGACCGTTTTCCCTACAAAATATCAGACACGAATTTGAGGAATTACTAAAACGGCTAGCAACGTGTTCAACTTCGTGTTTCTGCAAATAGGTGAATAGCAATCAGGATAAACGGTATTTATGAATTTGAATGAAATCACAGAATTTAATGATTGTCTCCAACACTTCATATTCCAAGGGTACTGAAGCTGTAAATGAAAGTTCAGCTGAAGACTGTCTCTGTCATAACCATCTAAAGGACAATGTAAGCGAATTACTAGCCAAGTACTTTAGTTGATATGTACCTTCAGTCACACATTTCATTTCTTTAAATTCAGTCCAAAATTTGTAGGCAGAAAGTGTTTTGTAATAATGAAATCTTATGATTGTCTCAAACCATTTCCTTTCTCATGTATTCCAATTAAATATTATGGGAGAGATTTATGTTAAGCATATATTTAAAGCCACTTAAACTTAATTAAGTTTCAGTGAATCTGTATTCCAAATAAGTAAATATTGAGTCAGAAATCATTGGAAAACCTAATAGTAAACCACTGGAATATCAGCAATATAGAGCAATAGTATTATTTGGTTACAGGATTTTCATCATAAGCTGACATCAGTTAGAGAACCATTGGAAAACCTGGGAGTTCTGGACAGCTGTTTCGTCCTAGTTTGGGACTCTTCGTCAGTACGCACCCACCGGGATTCGAACCAGAAGGTCCTGGGTACAAATCCCGGTGGGTGCGTACTGACGAAGAGTCCCAAACTAGGACGAAACAGCTGTCCAGAACTCCCAGGTTTTCCAATGGTTCTCTAACTGATGTCAGCTTATGATGAAAATCCTGTAACCAATCAAATCTCTACAAACCAACACTTGAATAATATTATTGTTGCATCACAAACAAGAACCCACCGGCTCAGATAGAAAGAAATTACTGGATCTATATCCCTGAATTGAGAAATTAGATTCGGGAAGAATGGAGTGTTCCCATATATTGACACATTTCTTATTTGCATACCAATGATTCCATCACATTCGTCAGCAGAGAAGACTAAGGAAAACACATTTGTTACTTCAGCAAACGCCTGATTACGAATAACTAAGGAGTTTAGCTAAAACCGTTGTCGCTTCAAGTTATAAAAGCACAATACCTGCATTGTATCCATGCTCCAAAATCCAGAGTAACTGCTAGTCAGGTAATAAACACGAAATTCAGTACCATTTGGCTTGTAGGTGGATGATTTCGAACTGTCGTAAAATCGAATGAACCAACACGGAATGTCAAGAAACCAACATTTTCTTGAGGCAAACCAGCTGTCGGTTGATCCTGTGTCGAACATTACACGAAACGTTTGTGGTGGCGTTCCCACCTGTATTTCTCCATAGTATTCAATCTTAAAAAGATATAATAAACATAAGATTCTGAAAACCTGAATGTTTCTGATATCGTGATGAAGTGGTGTACAGCAAAGATAATATCACACAATTTTATAAGGCTTCGACAAACTCCTTTTGCATTTGGTAGATGTGTTCTTCTCTGAAATGATATTTATTTAAAAACCACTTAAATTTCGATTTAACTAGAAATACCACTCGGAACACTTGATTGGTGCTAGCGGCCTAGTGAAGTGTGATAAGTGTTCATAATTTAAACACTGTGGGAGAGTCGAAGTCTATCATAGAATACTTTTATTTTGCTATCCAAGGGAGATAGTACTATTTATTTACTTATGACGCATAGAACCCAATAGTTTTCTTCAACTATTAATACTCTTACTTCAGTTTGTTTCTTTAACCATCTCGTTCACACCTGAACTCGCCAAATCCATTTAGCATATTACTTAGTTATTTTCTAGTCCTGTGTTATTTTGTTTCTAAGCCTCTTGTGATCTGTATTCACACCTTCTAACTTCCTTATAAAGTTTAAAATTATTATGTCCTCCATGCTCTTTGACTGAATTGAATGATAGTTGTAGCCGTGTGAACTTCTGTACAAAACGTGTTGTACAACTTATGTAGATTAAATCTCAGAATGGATATCTGTGTAAAGCTTCTTGCTCATTTCTCAATAAATTTATAACTGAAGATCAACTTACATTATGAAAGTTATACAGTTGTTGTGATTCTGGTGTTTCTCCTCCACTCCATAATTTCATCCAGCTTCGCTGTATTCCCCTCAAGAACTGCCAATACGGATTTAGAATTGACTTAATTCCAGTCACGGGATGCAAAGGAATCTTGATTATCTCAGAATTTACATGATACAGACAGATGAGAAGTATGATCAGATTCATTGCAATGAATACTCAAAGGAGAAGCGTGAATGCTGGCAGTGTCTTTCTGTTTATATACACACTGTTATATTGACATGCTCACAACGACGGAATTTCTGATTGGAGATCATCTAGATTTAGTCTGTTGTTGGTATGTGTTATTTCGTGATGTGTGGATATCATGACACGTGTGAACTTAATTCATGTATAGTGTTAATTCTGTATTCTGTAAATTCTGATACAATCCTGGATATAACATAAATGTGTACGTGAGACTAAGTTTTCATAAGCATGCTTCATTCAAGATGTGTCTATATATGTTTAATTTGTTTAATACTATACTTTGGTCCATTTCAGTAATAATACCTATTCTCATACACTATCATTCATGTGTGTTGAAAAGGAGCCTAAACCAATAGTAAAGTCAAACTTTTGAGATGAACATAAGAAAGCCATTAGACTAGATATCCACAGGACGTGCATATTTAATGTCTTGAATTGAATTATTTGTATATACTCGTGCTTGATAACCTAATTAACAAGAACGAAATTCTGATTTGATATCTTGGAATAAAATTTCAATTACATTCAATGAAATCTGATTACTTCTTGAATGCAAATAAATAGATGAAATTATGCAGAAGTAGTTCGTGGTATTTTAAAAAAGACATTACTGTTACAAGGAGTAATGAGAATGCACGTGACGAAGCTCATGTTTTCTCTAATCAGTACTCGAGCTACGCATTCTGAAACTAACTTTTTCTGTTCCAACCATAAGCGAGCAAATTCGCTTGAAAACAGCAACATCTTTGTATAGACAATTATTTAGTATCACTTTCCTGAAGAAATAAGAATTCTCAGTGTAGTTTCTATTATTTCCAAGTTTAAATGAAAAGACGAATCTCAGATAGACTCAAAATACACTCAGATATACAGAGCGCCTAAATGATGAATTCACCACCAATGGCATGTATACTGTAGATGACTTTTACGCTATCCTGTATTTCTTTAACTAAGGCCAAACCAAAGCATTAATTTTAACTTC